GAATCTGAAATTTCAACGTCAAAATTTACAGTCACTTTATTGGCTTTGTGTGTAAAATCTGACCATTCATCATACATGGTGTTTGAACTGGAGATAGCCTTAGACCTTACGCACGTGATAGAACTAGTCTTGCATCAATCCTATGCGCGAGCGCCGTGATTTGGCCGCTCGAGCGAGATGTATTACTGCTGATTTTCCTTCAACTTCCTTCACAGTTGAGCAAGTTCTCTCTAGCTTTTCTCCCCGCTCGGGCGTCGTCCAGGGGCATGCCATATATGGAAAAGCTCGACTTGATGAGACGAACACGTTCACAAAATTTGAGTGCGATCCGACTAGGGGCAAATGAGATATGACTCCCGAAAGTTACTGTCCGAGGCTGCAAAAATAGTCACCTTTAATGGTGATTTAAAGCGGAGAGGCCGCACAGGAATAGTTTGCGGCCTACCCCTTTTAGGTTTTTTACCCATAACTTTGTCCTGGAGTGCCCGATTAAGCTGAAACTTGACCCATTAGAGTTTTCGACTGTGCCAGATCGAATGGTAGTGGTCCCGTAGTTGTTTAACGTGCCGGCAACATAGTTTTAGTTACAAGGTCCGTTTCAGGGTGCTAGAGGCTGATTTTTCGGAAATTGTTTTTTTATTTGCAGTATCTTAGATATATCTGATTGCGATAAAACATGACAGGTGGCATTTTGCATACTTAAGAACATTCTGACTCATTCTAGGGCAATTCTAAGACTGTCGAGAATTCCACTGTATGTCTAGGCTTTATTGACCGGCTTCTCTTTTTATTCCACATCAGGGACTAAGGTACTAAAAAATGTCTTCAAACAGCGTCTTTTGCTAACGCATTTGCTTCTGAGTTCCTTTCTTGGTTAACACACTGATACACCTCATGTTTCCCTTCCAAGTCATGGAGTTTGGTTCATCAATGTAGTCAAAACCCACGGAATAGTCGATGATTCCTTACACCAAATGATTACATTAGTCGAATCGCCTTCCAATATAATGCATTTCTGATCTGCTGTGAGCTCAGTGCTTTAGCTTTAAATCGCAGCAATAAATCTCGAAAATTATTCTAAAAGAATTCCTTAGGAGTATCCCTAAATTTTTGCAAAGCTTTTTCCCATTGACCAATATGGACAAAGGTAGAGTTGATAACTTGTTGCACAAACCTAGCTTTATCGTCAAAAATTCTTGTATTTCTCTCTTTCAATAAATTCCAGCAGATCGCAGCCACTAATATTCCCTACAGATGCTTACCACATTTTGGAAATTGAGGGTTGAGGCTCTGTGGAAGAAATCCTGAATCCTTTTGTGTGATATCCATTGACAAGAAGGCATATTCTTACACCTTTACCAAATGGTTGATACATAAAGACAGGTAAGGAAGTGATGTGAATTTGTTTCAACATCTTATTTGCAAAGTATACATACATTTGTGACTATTACCCCCCTTCTCCTCAAATGTTTAATTGAGAGTGTTTGATAATGTTCCAAAAGCCATAGGAATGCCTTAACTCTCATGGGTGTTTTGATTGACCAGATTTTCATGTTTCTGATGTTGATATATATGTTTATGGCTAGAAGAGCATATAACGATTCAATAGTGAATATGCCTTTGGGATTTAGTTCCCAATTTATTTTCTCTCGTCTTGGGTAATAAAAATAGGAGTGAAGAGATTCCATTATTGATAAAAACTGGGGTTCAATGACACCATCTACCCTTTTGATATTGAGAGCTATATTCCAAATTGCTATTTTGCCTTCACCATATCACAGATGGGTATGATTTTTGTTACAGCTCTGCCATAGAGATCAGGGTATTACAATTTTAGAGGAGAATTTTGAAGCCATTTTGAGGATCAAAATTTTGCCTTATGACCGTCACCAACCAAGAATCCGGCGTGGGAGATAAATAGGTTTCTTATTGAATTGATTCGTTTCAAAATCGAAGAGGCAGAACCATTTTGAGATAAATTTTTAGGAATGAGGAAGTGTTGGTCCACTCCATATTTTACAAATACTATTTGCTTCCATAGTTGTGAATCATTCTGGTTTAGACTCCACCACCATTTTGTGAATCACTCTGCTTAGCCTTCACCACCATTTTGTCAACAACGCTTTATTCATTGTTCTCAATTTTCGAATACCAAGACCTCCTTCCTTTTTTGGTAAGCAATTTATGCCTAGCTGACTAAACTAAATTTAGCTTGTCACTTAAGTCACTCCATAAAAAATTCCTTATCATTCTTTAATATTTTGATTAAAAATAAGGGTGCTTTGTATAGAGAAAAGTAATACACTGTTATATTTGAAAAAGTTGCTTTGATTAAGGTTATCTTTGCCCCAAAGGATTAAAAATCGACCTTTCCAAGCATCTAACTTATAGTGCAAACTTTGGATAATTGGATCAAAGCCTGATGGAGGTAGTCTACCATCAGTTAAGAGAATCCCCAAGTTTTTAGAAGGAAGTGTCTTAGGGGTGTATTGTAATCAAGATGCCCAACTTGTGCGTTCCACATCTGAGCAGTTTATCCCCATTAATTTAGTTTTCCTCATATGGATTTTAGCCCCTGAGATTACTTCATCGCATTTAAGGTACAGCCAAAAGTTATAAATATGTTCATTTGAGGCTTCAAACGAGATAAGGGTGTCATTTGCATATTGTAGGTGGTTAACAACCGAACCATCATTTATGATTGGTAAACCCTTTAACAAACCTTTGTTTGACACACCTTTTAACATCAAACTGAGTGTGTCACCAACTAGGGTATATAAAAAAAAGAAATAGTGGATCCCCTTGTCGAAGCCCCCTGGTAGCACAGAAGAAGTATCTGCATATTTTTCATGGACCAAGACTGAAAAATGTGCGAAAGATAAACAGCCTATGATCCACATTCTCCATCGACTCCCAAACCCCATCATGATCATGATCTCCTCCAAGTAGTCTCACTTTACTTTATCATAAGCTTTTTCAAAATCCGATATACACTGAATTCCTTTCCTTGCTCGTTTTCTGGTGGTGTGGATGAGCTCCTGTGCAACTAGGACTCCATCCATAATTTGATGAATGTGCACCTAGGACTCCATCCATGATTTGATGAAAGCAGTTTGTGTTCCTCAACAACCTCATGGAGTTAAGTGCTCATTTTATCCTTATTTACGATTTTGAGTGTTCCTAATAATTGTTGAGCCTATAGTTACCACTAGATAAGGTCTACTCAGCATTTTCTTCAATTGACTAAATTCAGTCCTTAGCAGGGAAAGCGTTCCTTTACTATTTCCTGATTCACAGTTTCATTTCGTACCTTTGTTGCTAGATGGGGTTTTATGTACTATACAAATAAAGAGGTTCATGCACGAGAGAGAAGAGACGTTGTGTAAAGAAGTGGCATGTAAGGACAAAAACAAAAAAAACAAACATTAGGCGGACATAATATTGTGCCCATACAGTCTAAATGAAGTTCAACGAAAAAAAATCACATTGCAATAAGAACAAAACCAAATGAAATTAACCATTAAATAACAAAAAAAAATGACAAATGTTACATATGTCATGATAAAGTACAAAAAATATAACCTATTAAATAAGTTTGAGGATAATTATAAGTACAACTAATGGAAGGAAATTGATTAAGAAATGTTTGATCCAGATCAAAACAGTAAAAATATATTTCTCAGATTGCACATGCTATCCAGATAACGAAGATATCATTTCTAAGAAATACTCTTTCTAAAAAATATACTTCACAGGAAATAGATTTTCCACGAAGCAGTTTATTCCGTCGATCAAAATAGCCCTATATCTGATTGGATGCACTGAAAAATACAAGAAGGAAATGTTTTTCAAGGGAGATTGTGCATATCTACATTTTGGATTCAAAATCTATGGGAGATATTCAATTCTTTTTTTGCTATTTTGAGCCTAAAACGAAGAAACTGTGTTTATCCCAAGCGAACAAATTAATTTTGTTGTCGGATTTCCTAGGAGTCCAATAGAAAAATTTCAAAAAAGAGCAGATGGCTAATTGAATCCCAGAAAAAATAAAGGCAATCTCTTCTCATTTCTGGCCTCTCCCCCTCTCTCTCACATACACAAAATCCTCGTACCCTTGATTCTCATCTCTTACTGTCTCACCCCATTGACAAAAATCTCTCTACTGAAAAGTCTTGCTCTACCATATTTTATTTCCTAGAGATTCATTGCATTTGACTCCTTTTTATGGTAAAAATGTCTCCTATCAGGGTCCGATGTCATCCAAACAGCAAAAACTCATTTTACAACAAATATTTTCAGCAAGAGATGTACTACCGAAGACACTCTATTCCCATATATTTTTTCTAGTGACCCAACCGGGGCCCTGGAGTTGGGACCTCTGATGCTTTTAGATCATGTACCTCAAAACTTCTTTCAACGTCATTATTCCAAATCTTTCAAGGAGGTATAAGTATTGTGTAATCTTTTTCCGCAAGGCGCTATTCATAATCGTATTGGCAATGCCAAACGCTTTCCGATATGGTAAATGAAAAAACATTGAAGGGTAAGACGAAAAGTTCTTCAAAAATTGAGCACAAACGACAAGGCCTGCGTTTTCTTAATTTTTGTAATGCCTTAACTTTTATCCGATGTTGCTAGCTTGCCCGTGCCATAAGAATTATTCACGCAATACCACTTTTGATTCTTTAATAAAAATTGCTAGAGGTCTGATATAGGCCTTCAAAAAAAAAAAAAAAATATTGTCGGGGCCATTGACACCTGCTGCTCTCTGCCAAGGCAATGCAGATTTATCTCTGCTCTTTCTGTTTTAATCAGAAAGGCCATTCCCATTTTTTACTGTTCCTCCCTCTGCAGTCAAGGGAACAAAGAGAGAGACTTGGGACACACCAGAAGAAACCAGATGATAAGCTCTGTGACCCGAAGCTATAAAACTCACGATCCCAAAAGCCTTAAAACTCAGAACAAAACTGACAAGGATCCAAGACCCTGTATCAAAATCGTTAAAACTTAAAAACTCGAAAGAAGACCTTATCCAGTTTGACAGAAGAGAACAAAGAAATTACACGCACACCTGCCTCAGTTTTGGCTATGAACTCCTCGAAACACAGTGGCTCGTTTACAGTCTCTGCTAATCGGAGAAAAAAAGCAGAGGAATCCAAATACCAAGCGGAAAAGAAAAATAAAAAAAAGAGAAGAAAAAGCAAGTTTGGGTAAGTGTTTGTTTTTTTTAGATCAAGTGGGTGGCAATTTTTGTTGGTGAAGCCATTGTAGAGCTAGCTCTGATTTCGCAGCAAAAGTGGGGCTACTTCCACTGCTACTATCTGAGAGAGAAGCTAGGGTTTTTTGGAGGACCCCAGTTGGTGAAGAGACCTGTTTAGGACTGTCTCTAGAATTTGCTTCTCCCCAACCATCAGTCATCAAATTGAGCCCACCAGATGAGCTTTTTCCATTGCAATTATTGGGAGAGGCTGCATTTGTTGGTGTGCTTGATTGCAAAACCTCAGCTAAAGGACCACCAGGAGTTGAAGATTGCCATGAAACAGGCATCATCCAGCTAAGTGGCTGCCTCTTTATGCTGCTCTCTCTCTCCGAATCACTCAGTCCCAAGCCCATCTGAACTGGGTCTATATCTTCTTCATTACCAGACATTGAAAGCGTGAGGGAGGAGAGGGAAAGCTTTGAAGCAGAGGACAACAAGGGCTTTTCAGTGCCTTGAGGCCAACTCGAATCTCTGGTTTGAGACCAAGCATCTATAAAATGGCGTGGTTGCCTCTCGGGCTCTAAAGTGGTGAGATCAGAACCGAAAAAGAAGCCGCTCTGGTTGCTATTCTGCATACTACCAAGGCTGAAATGGGCGCTACTAACCCTAATGTCTTCAGGCTCAGAGACTAAATTAAGCTCATCATTGTAGTTGAAGACATGGGTATTGGCACTGCTATTTAGCCGTGGATGAAGTCGCCCACCTTTTTGCTGCATCAGCTGCCATTGCTCGCCCGCCGCCTCCCCCTTCATCCAATCTAAAAACCTAAAGAAAATAACAGAGTAATGAAGCACTGTGGACCAGACACCCAATATCATCAAAATCAAACAAGGGAAGTGCCTTACCTTGAGGAATCCTTATCTTGTACAGCAGAAATCAAATTGGGGGAAGGCACCTTGAACTCAGAGTTACTGCATGATGCTTTGTTGGCAACGAAACCACTAGACTGATACGGCTTCACCGATAAAGCAGAGGGGTTCAAGCTACAAAGTGTTGCTGGTGAAGAAGAACAAGGAGATGGATGAGGGGTCAGTGTTGAAGAAGAAGCCGCTGCAGCAATGGAGGTTGTGGCATCATTAGGTTGAGTTTGGTTATTCTGGATTTGAAGTTCCACAGGCTTTCTTGAACGAGGGCGACCCCTGTGCATGTGGCGCTCGCAGTACTTCTGGTCGGGAGCCACGTCCCTTGAGCAGCGCCACTTCTTGCCGTCCGTCCTGCGGCACCGCCCCGGCTCAGGATCCGTGGCGTTGGCGAACCTCAGACTGAATGGACCCCAACCCACTACAAAACCCCATCAATCAACTCCACCAATTAAACAAAACAAAATGTAAATCATTCTTCTTACCAATTAGCACCCCAATCCCAAACCCACACCAAAGAAGAAAGAAATGGTTCTCGAGAGAAAAAAAATTAAGGGATTACAGTTAGGGTGAGAGAGGGGGAGACTCTTGCGAATAGGGTTGACAAGGTCTTGAGGCACGGGCACAGAGGCCATCATGTACTTGAAAATCAGGGCCTGTTGTTCCAGTTCCTGCCACTGCGATGGAGTAAAAGGAAACCGCAGAGATGCCATCCCTGAAACAATAAAAACACAAACAGAAACGACTTAGTTTTTATAACCATTTCAGATCAGAAATGCTCTGCTCCCACAGATACAAAAAGGAAAATATGGGGGCATAAAATTCGTAGAATCTCAAGTGATCTACATTTTTTTGCTGAGAGGAAAGAGATTTAGAGGGTGAAGAGGCGAAAATACCTGGGGACTTCAACGCACTGGGAAAAGGCTGCATAGTCCTTACTGATGCTGCTCCTGCTCCTGCTCCTGCTCCTGCAACTGAGACTGGAACTGCACCTGCGGGAACATCGTATATATCGCTCGACCTGCCATCGCCATAGTTATAAAAAGTGGGACCATCACCTTCGCAACGTGAAAAGGGCGGAGGTATCCTGAATGGGAATGAATCAGAGCGTGATAGCTTCTGAGGAACCCAACTCTCTTTCTCTTCCCCTCTTCTCTGTGCTCTCTTCTCTCCCCTCAAACCACCATCCATCTCCATACTTGCCTTCGCCCTTTAAGACCCACTTCCCATGCGTCAAAACCTCTTTACTGGCCCCTCAAACCTTCCTCTTGGAAAATACCTCTCTCTCTCTTCAAAAGGGTGAAACTGAAAACCACCTCTCGCTCTCTCTCTCTCTCTCTGAATATCTGAAGCTTTAGATTCATTCAACCCATGGCTGCTGTGCCCTCAGTGTTACCATCTTCGTTCCCCTGTTACCCGAGGCCCCAACATTCGCCCTTATCAGACAATTTGGTAAAGCTTCCTCAACCGTCATTATTGTGGGTATCTATCGTTTTCTTGCACACCTCGAGTGCCCTTTCAAGGAGAGAGAGATAGGGGAGACGCCTACTAAAGAAGAAAGCCTAAAGAGAGAAAACCGAGTCCAAATAAAGAAATCCTAAAAAAAAATAAAAATAAATCAATGCTTCCTTCCCCTTCACTAACTGGCCTTTGACCGGCGAGCTCTGTTATTACGGCCGTCGCTTTCCGTCCCAGGCCGCCGTTATCCTCCTGGTCTAGGGAATCGTACTCGACGGAACCGGAGTAGCCTGATGCAATGCAGCACCACCCCGTTACCAGAAGCCTGACGTGATGCGCTAACTAATCGTCTCCGCCTAAACCACATCTCCCACATTCAAAATTACTTGATTTTGGCGTCGTACTTTCAGACAGTCCAATTAATAAAACCCCCAAATCCCGTTATTAACTACACTTCCGACTTTACTACCCACCTAATAAGTTTATAGCCTTCTTTTCCTGTGTGTGATAATATAAAAAATAACAGTCTCATTTTCACCCAAAAATAAATAAAAAAAATCAGCCTCATTTTGGCGTTTTCCACCGGATAGCATAACTAGGAGCCTTAGATTGGAGCTCTTAAGGTGTAGTTATTATATGGATTTGAAATGAGTAGTGGTTATTTGTTGTTGGCAATGTCGGCTCCATGAAGGCCTAATACAATGAGGCGGTTATTAGGGTTGTGAAAGTGACGTGGCTAGGTTGGTGGTGCATTGATTAGCTGGCGGTGGGCAGGACGCGGAACCAGCTGTCTCGATGGGGCAGTCACGATCAGGCCTTGAAACCTGGTTCATGGAACCGTGACTTGTACTCCACTTCAATCTCTCTCTTCTCCCTCTCTCTCTCTAAGCTAACCCTAACCCTATGTGCATGTACCATCTTCCCCTCATCTGTCTGCATATGAGGTCTCGAACTACGAACCCACCTCCTGGTCCCACAAATCCATTGCCCGCCTCTCTCCTGTGACTGTAAAAAAAATATGTGTTCTATTTATTCTCGCGCACTGGACCATGCTAGCGTGTCACGTGGACGACCCATCTTGTAGCACGCCTCTAAATGGGTCCCACGTGGCTCTCCACCCAAGAAGAGTTGTATAACGTCAAACACGGCGTCAAAAAAATAGTGACTGCTTTGCCCCAGCTTGTTCCCTTTTAGTGTCATGTTTTTTGAGCATTGGTAGATGAATGTTATTGTAATCAACTACCTCATACACGGACGACATACTATTATAATGAATCTCACCAATGTTTACGATTCGTATCTCGTCCTCGATAAGGGCTTTGCATTAAATGATTCCACAAGGCGATAATGCGATCACTAAAGTTGTAAATGTTGAATAACTTTTCATTTTGATTTTCAACAAGCAGAAGTTCCAAACTAACATAGTAATTGCTATTAATATAGTAATTGCAATTAACTTAGTAAAGCTTCTCCTTGTATCTTCTTCATATGAAAAATACTTTGGGCATCTAAAGTTTTCAAAATGGGTCTACAATCAATTTTCAATATTGACTATGAATTTTGAAGCTCAAAAAATAGTACAGATTTGTATCTGTAAAATTTATTTTTGGGGTGAGATAAGCAGCCTAAATAATACATTATATTATAGACTATTTTTGGACTTTGAAATCTTAATTTTTTTTACAACTATAAAGGTCAAAATCGCGATAATCGATTTGAAAGCTTTCTGATACGAGAACTATAATTTTATGTGAATTATGAGGGGAGACTTTGCTTATTATGATATAAAACCATTTTCCATTCTAAAAAAAAGTGGAAAGAGATCGCATTTAAGTAGATTCCTACAAAAATAAACCAACAATAGTGGACACCATAAACGCAGGTGGCAATAATCTTAGCAAGAACACCATTCCAATTGTCATGGACAAATAACTTCGAAAAAACAGTCACGAGGGAGGGAGGGAGGGAGGGAGGGGGTGGGTGGGGGTGTCCCCTAATTCAGCAACAGGGGAATAACGGTGTTGGTTACCATTGCTACCCCCGTTTGGGGAGCAAGCAACGACCCCGTTTGAGGCGCTGACGTGGCGGTAAGATTGATGAGTATGGGGCCACGAATAACACGCATCGCATTCCATACCCCTTTGTCGTCGTCTTTTCGCGTCTCATTTGGTAAAGGGGTGGGTCACAAGGGTTGGACGGTTTGGGAGTGGCGTGGACCACGCCCCGGGTTCTTTCGTTTCTTTGGTTCTTCCCCTTCTTCCTCATGTGACTCGAGAGATTTTAGGGATTTGCTGGGGCACACCAGTAATTGTTGTTTGTTGAAAGTAGAGACTAAAATTATTAATATTATAATCATAATAATAAAAGAAACAAAGAAGATAGTTAGAAAAATTGGTTTGGTGAAAAAGGGTAAAAATAAGAACAAGAAGCATCAAATTCGTCGTCAGGTACGCGGAGCACTTTTTTAAGGTCATATTTTTCCTCCTTGGATACTGTAATAGGTGTGTATAAAACGGACAACTTATCTTTGGGATACAAAAAAACATAAAAGTCTAATTTCCAATGTTTCAAGGCTTTGCAAGGATGGAAGTTGGTCAAAAGGTTCAATAAGTCTGTTATAGTGTAAAGGGACTCCATGAATATTGTGAAGTTGTTAAAGGGAGAAGCATATTACCCCTGAAAACTACATAGTTTTGTTCAAGAGATGGTTGATTGTTGATTGTTGCGCTGATCTTGAATGCTCCTTTGTTCATGGAAGCGGATGAATTAGCTAAATATGGCGTGAATGCTTAGTGTTTAACAATTATGTAATTGGTTGTGTTTGAGTAATTGTTTGGACTGGTTTTTAGTTTTTTTTTCTGCTTGTAATTGAGCCAATTGGCAATTGTAATTTTGTGAGGTACGTTGGAAGGATGTAGTAAAAATGTTACCATTTCTCAAAAAAAAAAAAAGTTCAATAACCCAAAAGCCCATTGTAAACACAGTCTTGTGTTACTAAAAGAGAGGAAATAAAAAAAATGAGTAGAGAGAAGGGGATGAGTGCTTTGTTATGCTCTTTAGAATTTTGCAGAGAATGGTACGAGAAAAAGTGTTGGAAGATAGTAATTCATATGGAAAAATGACCCCTCTTATGGAGCTCCAAGAAGCTGTTTATTTACTGTAAGAGTAGTTACATGCACCACCAACAGTCACAAGTTTCATACACACTTTTAATCTTGATGGTTGTCGTTTCAAGCCGCTAGTGACCGTCTGATGTTCCACATGTTCTACGCTTAAAAACCCACATCTTTCTCTCTCCTTTTATAAAATATAGCTTAGAAAAATCATACAAAACCCACATCTTTCTCTCTCCCTCTATAAAACCTACATCTTTCTCTCTCCCTCTATAAATTATAGCTTAGAAAAAGCATACAAAACCCACATCTTTCTCTCTCCCTCTATAAAATATAGCTTAGAAAAACCATACAAAATCGTATTGTTAATTTGAAATACATACTAGTATTTTTCAAAACAAAAAATACTAACTGAAGAGGCCAGGACGGGTTTTGTTTGGCTAAGGGTGGCAATAGGCCAAACCTGGGCTAGGCTAGCCTTGGCCCTAGCTTGGTCTTTGTCCTCAAAAGGCTGGCTCAAGCTTAGCCTAGGTCTAGATCCGGCCTGACCCTATTAGGGTGAGGTCGGTCTGGCCGGATTAAAAGCAAATGAAAAAATATAAAAGGAAAAAACTAAATAAAGATAGATATATGCCAGCACTGGGTCTAATCCGACCCTTGGGCCACAGTTTGTGGCCCTGGCATACTTTAGAGTTGGACCCACCGGGCCGTGCTGGGCCACACGGCGCACTGCCTGCCCTAAATCTGGCCAATTATAGGAGCTGGCTGTTCCTGCCAAAAACCTCCTGATATTTTTTTTTTCATTCTTGGTTTGGTCTTCCATCTACGTGCATTCTATTGTGCATGCAACTTTTATTTTGTTTTGCTTTTTAACTTTTTTTATATTTTCTCATATGCAATATATGGGATCCGGACCGAGATCGATGGTTTGGAGATCCGCCCACCAATGAAACATAACACATTATTGATCGGGACCGACACTCTCACCTTTTTGGGTTTGCCCTTTTACTTTTGTTTATTGGCGAGGGAAGCCGATTGGCGTCCTTTGTATCTAAACACAGTACATCTATCGTTGGTCAAATCAAGTAGACGGTGTGGATAGGCCAGATATGAAAGGAACTTACGAATCGGGAACCTGAGTTTGTGAGTGCATGCTATATATCTGCCGGCTTCTTTTTTCTGTTGATGGAGAAACGTGTTGGGCCCCAAAAGGTGGCCCAAGAGCCCTAGGTTTTAAGGGATATAGGGTTTTTGTACATATTCAAGTTACTTTGAAATTTCTTTGTCTCGTCCATAAATTGGGAACCTTCAAAGGTTAGGAAGTCGTCCAACCCACGTGACTCGTTTACAAGTGGACTCGACCAAGCATGGTAAGGGGTACCAATTGGCTCTGCAACAACTAATTTCCCGGAATTATCAGCTTTGTTTTATGGTCTTCGTCATAAAAATTTGAGACTTTTTTTGTAGGTTGGAAAGGGATTCGATGAATGTCATCATTTATAACAAAAAGTAGCATATCCTTCGAAAACTCCGATCTCTATGAATTCAGATAATAAATTTGATTAGTTGTTTGACCATATCCTTCCACTTAGCGGATGAGCTTACCAAAAAACGAGTTACCTATGATTTCATTATATCGACAGTTGATGTAAATCTTTTGTAATTCCTCTCTTGCAATAATACTTTGATAACTTTTGTTCAAAAAAAAAAAAAGTACGGTTAGGGGTTAAATAGCTTTAGAAAAATAATATAAGAATGCAAAAAATTAATGAAGAGTAAAATA